CTACCATTTTAAACCCTACCCGCTGCAACCCCGAGCACACAAGGCTTCACGTTAGTACCAGGCCCGTGGGCCATTTCGGCACACAGACCATCATCAGCGAGCCATACACAAAGCTGCTTCAGTTTTGGATCTACTCATCAGGGTGGGATAAGGGCTGTTGTGGTGAAAATCCAAAACACACACCAGCAACGGGTAAGCACGAGGGACACAGCTACCAGCAAGGACTCAGGCCGCAGACACGCACTCAGCAATACAGCAGAGCACGGAAATCTCAGCAAATCAGTCCAGCAAGTGGTAAAACTCAGAAAACAGCACACTTCTCAGTCTGCAATTTTGCAGGTCATTACACTCCAGATATTGGAGTAGATGTTCCTTCCAGCGGCAGCCAGTCACCAACAGACCAATCAGTCCTCCAGCGGTATGCAGGCTGAAACCAGCTCCGAGGCAAGACACCATCTCTCCAGCAAGCGATCGCGACCAGGTAAGTCAGGTAAGCCTTTTTCTCTTCTCTCCAGCAAGCGATCGCGACCAGGTAAGTCAGGTAAGCCTTTTTCTCTTCTCTCTCCACTCACCTTTCTGCAAAAAGCATCAACCTCACTCTCTCCACTGCTTGCTATGGTGCAGTGCACCTCTGTCCTACCCGTGGCTATCTAGCGCTTCTCTGTCTGCCTCCATCCAAGCATCCCTCCAGCATCCAGGTAGCACGAGGCAGAATGAATGATCCGACTGGGCAGGCCGTTCTTTTGTAGTGTTGACTCAGCCTGGCCTGCCACCTCTTGCCTCCTCAAAGGGCTGAGATTTCTCGATCTGGCTGAGATCAGCCTGACCTCACGGTGCTCATGCTGCATTTCTTAGAATCATCCAGGTCGTATACTGCACTAACCTCGTCCATCGTTCCACGCCCTGCCCCGACAAAACATATTTCCAGGGCCAGCCACACTCCGCCTCCATCACCTATGAAAGCAAGGAACAATCAGTAGCCCTAACAGCCAGCTGTGGAGGAGGGAGTAGCCCAGTACCATAGCAATTAAAGTTTAGGCGTAGTGGGGGGAGTGAGAGAGGTTCCGCAGGAAAGCGTGAGGATCACAGGACCTTGCCGTAAAGGGGATCAGATATTGTAGCCACTGTGTCCATTAAGTCACACTGGAGTTGAAAACTGAGTTAGCGCACATTGATGGCATCTACATTGGAAGGAATCGGTCAGGCATTTTGAATTCCTTTTGTTCACAAATTGGTGATGAATTTTTGCTCTCAGATTGCTTGCAAAGTAATTTATGAACAGGACTGACTCCTGATCAACAGAGCAAGTGCGAGAGAGGGGTCAAGAAGAATAGCTCTCTCTCTCTCTCTCTCTCTCTCTCTCTCTCTCTCTCTCTCTCTCTCTCTCTCTCTCTCTCTCTC